ACACAGTGGAGTCTCTCTGATTGGTTGACGCTGCGCGTCGAGCTGCAAAAGTTCAGATTTCCCAACTTCAGCGATTTCAAATCGTTCAAATCGCGCTGCTCTAATCGCGCTTGAGGCGCCGCAGAACTTCCCGACGTTGCTTGAAGCGCGTCCACCATAGACTTTGTATGTAAACCTGCTGCTCCTGACGCTGAAATCGCGTTCGGTGTGAACGCACCATAAATCTCACTGCCAATTCACAAACGTTCACATCCCAAATTAAATAGTTTTGTCTTTGTTTTGTTTCTCTAGAAACTATGCTGTCCTATTAAAATATTTAACAATATGATACATTTTAAACAAAATACCAGACGTCTGCCTCAAAGCTGACAGCAATGAGGAACATTTGTTCATATTAACAAGCAGCTGTGGAAAATTTTTACAAGATCTACTCAAAACTCTGCAAAATCAATGTTTTATGAAGGTAAAACACTGAAAACCTGAGTTTTTTCGGAGATCATAACTCAAACTTCCATTATTCTTACTTTGCTTCATCTATTTACACACAGAGCACCAGTAGTTAGTTTTGGCTGCATCATGATATTTTATTACAAAGCATCCTCTGCACCAAATGACCTCATGTAGGAACAAAGCAGGCTGAGAAACCCACAGAACAAATGACCTTCAAAATCTTCAGTAACCAGTGATTATTCTACTATACTCTGATAAAAAAGTTATAAAATATATTTTTTGTCTCCCATTTGTGGTGCGCCCTAGATGGAAGGTGCCCTTAGCATTTGCTTATACTGCCTATGCCACGGGCGGGCTCTGCTTAGGACTGTCCAACACCTCCTAGTGAACACGTTGCTGTAGAGTTTGATAGCAAAGAAACTCTACATAGTTATGAACTTGCATTGCTAGGAGCTAGGTTGGTTGCTGAGCACAACAATTAACAAATCCTAATGTTTTTCCTTCTCAAAACTCTTGTGTGATGTCTAATAGTTATTAATAGTTAGGACTTTATCAGTCCCATCTGTCACTCAGCAGAGCCAGCAAAATGTAGGCCTGATTTTTATCATTTTCTGCCTTGTAAAACAACTTTCTTTAAAGCGACATTTTGTTGTAAGAGAATTCTACATTAGTTATTGTTCAACCTCTTTTTTGAATGACTCTTATATGTTTTGATTTGTTGCATTTTTTTTCAACTGAATGTTTGCGTTGCTATGCGAATGTATGCGTGCGACTCAGACTGTTTTTTTCTGATGGTGCTGAGGCTGCTGAATACATCAGTCTAATTAGTTTGTCAGTCAAATGTTTAATTTACCCTTCAGTGTTAATATGCAAATGTATGTGTGTACTTGACTAAGTAATATTATTAAATCTGGATCCAATAATTGATGTGATTTGTGAACAGGAAGCAAGTTGCCTCCAGCTCTGCCTGCATTCTTGGGTAGCATGCAGGGAGAGGACCTTAGTGAAGAGAAAGAGGAGGAGGAGCAGCAGCTGCAGGGTGCTGAACAAGGAGGAGTCGCAGAAGAGATGGTCACTTGCTCCAGTCAAGACCAAGCCATGATGCAGGACTGCTACAGCAAGATTGTAGAGAAACTGTCTGTAGCCAACCCAACTATGGTGCTTCAGGTACACTGTAAAAGCAAACTGTTGAGATTTAATCAATAAAATTGGTTTAAGAAAATGAACGAAACAGAACTTTACCAACTACAATTTTATAACCGTTCCTAATTTTGACTTTTACTAAGCGATCCGTATTCTAGACCCATGCAATGAAGACTTGTTGATTTCTGTTGAACAGTACGGTTAACAAATTAACCGTTGACCTGAAGGGAGTTAACTGTTGGTATTATTTATGGCAGGGGTTCTTAACCTTTTTGACCTCTGGGCCCAATTTGTTGAACATAAAGTGGCACGAGGCCCAGTCAGACATTACCAATGTACTGATCAGAATGATAATTATTCTAATTCTTGGTTAAATTTTTATTGTATTTACATCATAACTAAACTATCATAACTAACATAACTAAATTAAATACACTTAAAGTTTAAAAGTAAAATTCCTGTCAATTAATCACAAGACATGATTATAACAAACATTTTTAAATTGTAACGGCCCATAACAATTCTTTGAACAAATACAACGGTCAGTCAACAGACCACTCAGGCTTATCAACACAAAAATATATATTTTTAACATAAACAATAACAAAAATAGACAATTCAAAAATAAAATTGTGGGCATAAAATAAATAAATAAAAATGTTTAATGTAAATGTTTCAAATTTTAAAAAAAAACTGTACAAATAAATTTGATAATGTACAAATGAAAAGATAGTCTTTTTAAACTTTTGCAACCAGAAGCTGCTCTTCATATTAGTGACTAACTTTGGTGTTTTTTGACGAGTTACTTTCATTTTTGCTTCTACTTTTCATTTAAAATAAGTTTCCATTCTCGGCAGGTTTCTAAGGTTCTTCTTCTACATATTAAAAAAGTTATTAAACAACTGAGTGGCGCACTACTGCTACTAGTGGTGAGAAAGTGTATTGCACCTTATTCAAAATCAATGCGGTCACAAGGCCCTCTGCGGCCCGAAGTTAAAAACTGTTGTTCTTTTGAGGCCCTCAAGGTGGCGCTCGCGGCCCGTAGATTAAGAATCTCAGGGCTATGACACATGAGACCGTTTAAATCAGGTGTGCCAAAGCAGGAAAACAACCAAAACATGTAGGATAGTGAGAACCACTGGTCATACTGCATTTCTCAGGCTTTTACTTCTGTGACGTGAGATGGGGGTGTACAGATCAATCCATGTAATAATGACACTAACCTTGAATCATGCAGTTTAAATCTTGTAGCTCCACATGTCTTCAGCTACAGAACAGAAATCTATTAGTTTCATATTTTTTCATTTAATTTTCCATCTCCTGGATGACTGAGAATCCACAGTAACATATGATAGTAACAGTGTCAGACCCTGTTGATACTAAAGTGGATTGATACTTTTGTTGGCTTTACTTTGAGCATGTCGCATCGCTCTCGTTCCATAAATACACGCTTCACCGGAGCAGCCGACCAATGGCAGGTTAAAATGTAAACGGTGAACTGAACACGCGTGGCAGATAATTATTTAACCGGTTCTGAATGCACAACAACTTCAGAATCGACATGTTATTAAGTAGCACCCACCTTTGTGACCTGTTTACACCTGTAAACAGTGAGATGAACGTGACATCACATCTTCTGTGCATGCGGGTTGCATTGACATAAAGCATTCACATTGGAGTCTAATGGAGGTCTCATTTCAAATTTCAATATCCATGCACAACAGTGGTATTGGTTCTGGGTACTGGGGCAATCTGAACCAGTAATTGAAAAATGCTAGTATCGGGCCCAATACAGGTATTGGTATTGGTGTGTCCCTAACCAGTGCCTTACATCATGAACATGGGGACAGAGGCTAAGTAAGGTGAGGCGGGTACAATGTGGGCATGGCTTAGAAAATAGTTTTATAAACTGTAAACATAAAAATACAGTGGGGAAAATAAGTATTTAGTCAGTCACCAGTTGTGCAAGTTCTCCCACTTAAAAAGATGAGAGAGGCCTGTAATTGACATCATAGGTAGACCTCAACTATGAGAGACAAAATGTGAAAAAAAGTTTGAGAAAATCATTTTGTCTGACTTTTAAAGAATTTTTTTGCAAATAATGGTGGAAAATAAGTATTTGGTCACCTACAAACAAGCAAGATTTCTGGCTGTCACAGACCTGTAACTTCTTTTTTAAGAGGCTCCTTTTCCCCCCACTCATTACCTGTATTAATGGCACCTGTTTGAAGTCGTTAACAGTATAAAAGACACCTGCCCACAACCTCAAACAGTCACACTCCAAACTCCACTATGGTGAAGACGAAAGAGCTGTCGGAGGACAGCAGAAACCGAAGTGTAGACCTGCACCAGGCTGGGAAGACTGAATCTGCAATAGGCAAGCAGCTTGGTGTGAAGAAATCTACTGTGGGAGCGATAATCAGAAAATGGAAGACATACAAGACCACTATTAATCTCCCTCGATCTGGGGCTCCACGCAAAAATTTTTTTCACATTTTGTCTCTCATAGTTGAGGTCTACCTATGATGTCAATTACAGGCCTCTCTCRYMTKTTTAARTKGGAGAACTTGCACAATTGGTGACTGACTAAATACTTATTTTCCCCACTGTAGTCCATGACTTTTATTCAAAATGCAGCAGCATGACTGGGTGAGCATTATGCTGTGGCTGAGTGGTTAGGGGAGTTGTCCTCCAATGAGAGAGTTGGCAGTTTGATTTCCCTGCTACTCAGTTACATTTTAAAGTGTTTATGGGCAAAACACTGAACCCCCACTGCCTCTGATGTGTCCCATCAGTGTATGAATGTGATTTGAAGCATTGATTAGTCTCCATTGAATGATTTAGATTAGCTTTGTAGAGAAATGTAGTAGAGTGCTGTGTGAGTGAGTAAAATGAGGGGCACGAATTGTAGGGCAAAGTTCTTTGAGTATTGTAGTTGGAAAGAAAGGTGCTTTACAAGTATAGTCCATTTACCATCTATTAAGAGTTCTGTGAGACGGCAACCAAAAAGTAAAAAAAAAAAAAAATTCGATAGTCATGTTTTTGCATAAAGCGTAATTATGGACGCATCAAGATGGATCTATACTTATTTATAATCCCATCACCAAAAGAGAACAAGAAGCATCATTTTCAAATAATCTGAATATGTTATGCAGTCTCCTGTGCTTATGTGTGTTTTGCAGGTCCAGCAGCTGGTGGGAGAACTGCGCAGAGTGACTTTACTTTGGGATGAACTTTGGCTTGGTGTGTTACAACAACAACAACATATGCATGTCCAGCGTAGAATCCAGCAGCTGGAGGACGAGGTCAAGAGAGTGCAAAACAACAACACACTGCGCAGGTGATATGCTTTTATGTTCAGGACTTCAAGTTTGTGTCCTGTACTGAAGGATTTTGTAGCTGCAGTAAAAGGGGTTCATAAATTAAAGACGTAACATTCATTGAAGGAATTCATATTGCCCACCACTTTAATGACAGAGTTTCAGTTTAAAACCATCTTCCGTACGTCCGTACGTCCGTTTTCTGCCGCTTATCTGGGGTCGGGTCGCAGGGGCAGCAGCCTTAGCAGAGAGACTCAGACTTGCCTCTCCCCAGCCACTTGGGCCAGCTCCTTTGGGGGAATCCCAAGGTGTTCCCAGGCTAGCCGAGAAACATAGTCCCTCCAGTGTGTCCTGGGTCTTCCTCTGGGTCTCCTCCCAGTGGGACGTGCCCAGAACACCTCACCAGAGAGGCGTCCAGGAGGCATCCTAACCAGATGCCCGAGCCACCTCAACTGGCTCCTCTTGACGTGGAGGAGCAGCGGCTCTACTCTGAATCCCTCCCGGATGACCGAGCTTCTCACCCTATCTCTAAGGAAGAGCCCAGACACCCTGCAGAGGAAACTCATTTTGACCGCTTGTACCTGTGATCTCGTTCTTTCGGTCATTACCCAAAGTTCGTGACCATAGATGAGTGACAGAAGGTAGACCGACTGGTAAACCGAGTGCTTTGCATTCTGGCTCAGCTCTTGCTTCACCACGACAGACCAGTACAGCGCCCGCATGACTACAGACACAGTACCAATCCGCCTGTCGATCTCCCGCTCCATTCTTCCCTCATTTGTGAACAAGACCCCGAGATACTTAAACTCCTCCACTTGGGGCAGGACCTCCTCCCCAACCCGGAGGCGGCACGCTACCCGTTCCCGACTCAAGACCGTGGTCTCGGATTTGGAGGCACTGATCCTCATCCCAGCCGCTTCACACTCAGCTGCAGACCACTCCATTGAGTACTGGAGATCACGATCTGATGAAGCCAATAGGACCACATCATCCGCAAAAAGCAGAGATGTGATCCTAAGGTCACCAAAACAGACCCCCTCAACATCTTGGTTGCACCTAGAAATTCTGTTCATAAAAGCTACGAACAGAATCGGTAACAAAGGGCAGCCTTGGCAGAGTCCAACCCTCACCGAAAATGAGTCCAACTTACTACCAGCAATGCGGACCAAGCTCTGGCACCAGTCATACAGGGATCTAACAGCCCATATCAATGGGCCTGGTACCCCATACTCCCGGCGTACCCCCACAAGAGTCCCCGGGGGACACGGTCGAACGCCTTCTCCAAGTCCACAAAACACGTGTAGACTGGTTGGGCGAACTCCCACACTCCCTCCAGGACCCTGCAGAGGGTGTAGAGCTGGTCCGCTGTTCCACGACCAGGACGAAAACCACACTGCTCTTCCTGAATCCGAGATTCGACCATCTGACGGACCCTCCTCTCCAGGATCCCTGAATAGACCTTACCAGGGAGGCTCAGAAGTGTGATCCCCCTATACTTGGAACACACTCTGCGGTTCCCCTCTTTAAATAGGGGGACCACCACCCCGGTCTGCCAATCCAGGGTAACTGCCCCTGATATCCACGCAATATTGTAGAGTCGCGTCAACCAACGCAACCCAACAACATCCAGAGCCTTAAAGAACTCCGGGCGAATCTCATCCATCCCCGGCGCCCTGCCACCGAGGAGCTTTTTAACCTCCTCAGTGACCTCGTCACCAGAGAGTGGAGAGTCCGACCCAGGGTCCTCAGGCTCTCCTTCCTCATGGGAAGGCGTGTCGGTGGATATAGGTCAGCAGTGCACCATCCCCACCATAAACAGTGTTGGTGGCGAACCACTTTACCCCCTGAGATGCCGGATGGTGGACCATAAACGCCTTGAAGCCATATGGAAGTCTTTTTCCATGGCCTCTCTGAACTCCTCCCACGCCTGGGTTTTTGCCTCAGCAAGCCGCAATCCGCATGGACCATCTTGTGGAGTGGAATTACATTTTGGTCAAACCTTGTGTACGATCACGTAAGATTTTGTGAGATAGCACTTTAGGTATGTGTTGTTCACCTAATGTTCAAATCTAGATTTTAAACATTTGAAAATTTGTTGTCAAATTTCATATTTAACACCTGTAATATCTGTACTCGTGTGTCTTTCCTGTCATGCAGGGATGAAAAGATAGCCATCATGCGTGAGAAACACTCTGCTTTGATGCGCCCTGTGGTTTTTGCCCTGGATCACGTGTGCAGCATCACAGCAGCTTCAGCAGAAACTCCACATGAGACCTGGTTCCAGCAGACCTACGGTGATGCCATCACCTCTGCTCTGGAGCGTCTCAAGAACCCAGCCAACCCTGCTAACCCGGCTAGTAGTTGGCTTCCTTTCAAACAGGTGCATGTTTGTACTTTATAAAACTGTCCAGCTTATTCCTACAATCCATGATGCTTTGTATGAATGATGTCTTTTACTGTCAGTCAGTGCATTTCTTTTTAATAGCAAACATCTCTATCAGAACAACTGCACACTAAAACATTCCAAAATATTTCTTATTTCTCAGATGAGATGGTATAATCCCTGTCCCTTCAACTATTTGTACAATATGCTCTTATTTTAAAGCCAGAATTTGACTTTGTCTAGTTGTATTTAGAGCCAAAAACAGATGAACTAATACTGGAGTAGAGGACAACTCAAAGAGCATCTATCTATACCATGAAGACCGAAGCAATGTAGCAGAACTGTAAATAAATGTTATCAAAATAAAGATGTTAGACAATTAGCCACAGAGAAAAGGTGCTTTACTGCTTCTTACAGTCAGTAATTCTGCTTGAAAGAGGTCACAAAAATATGTGCCTCATTCACCTCTAACAGATGTTGGTATTTGTTTTTTATTTATTTATTTATACTTGGGCAGATAATGATGAGTCTGCAGCAGCGAGCTCAGAAGCGAGCCAGCTACCTGCTCCACCTGGATGAGATCAGTCCTCGACTGGTCTCCATGACAACAACACAGATGGCCCTGCCTGGCGAAGCGTCTGCGTCTGATGCTGTCACTATACAAAGTGTGGGCAAAACCATCACCATCCTGCCCACTAAGACCAAGCCAAAGAAGCTCTTCTTTCTGGGTTCAGATGGCCGCAACTACCCATATCTTTTTAAAGGTAGGAAGTTTGGTTAAAGTAGGTTATGTAGTGTTAGGATACATTTTAAAATTTAACACTTAGCCTTTCTTGGAAAGAATACATCACCTGCTGCCTTTCATGCCAGAGTTTTAGATTAGAATACTCTTATATTGAGAAATGACAGAGTTGGAGCTGTTTTAGTCAGACCTTGAAAATAACATTTTGCATAATTCAATTCAGTTTGTACATTGCCAGTTCACAGAAAGCCATCTGAGAGAATTATACAAATACATTAAAATACAGCACATTACAAGGCATCAATTAGTAGAGTCCTCTAAGTCATTGTTTTTCAACCCTGGTCCCCAAGGCACACTGCTCTGCATGTTTTAGTTGTTTCCCTGCTTCAGCACAGCTGATTTAAACTGATAACTGATTAACAGGCTTTTGTTGAATTGCAATCGTCTGAACTGTGTGTGTAAAAGCAGGGAAGCTTGTAAAACATGCAGAGCAGTGTGCCTTGAGGACCAGGGTTTATAAAACACTGATCTAAGGAAGCCAGCAGATTGCATTAAATCTTCACTTTGTTGCAGTCTTCTATCCTGGGCAAACTCACAAAAGGAATTAGGCAACCGGTTTGCACCAAACGTCTTTCCTATCTATCTTGGCTTCAATCAGATTCCTCAGGATTACAAGCCCACGGCGTGGAACCAAACACAGCCAACACAGTCTGGTACCTTCTCATACTGCTCACCAGACTCATCAAACACTGCAGTGGAATTGCATTTCACTTTCAATTAGCATAATTTGAATTTAGTACAGTCTAAATCATAACTGCAGCATTTTAACCTAAACCAGGGTTGTCAAACTCATTTTCACCGAGGGCCACATGAGCATTATGGTGGCCCTTGAAGAGCCAGTTGTAATGAACTTGGATGTTTCAGGTTTAACTTTGACTAAACAGTGTTTTAACACACCTTCTTTTAAACACTGATAAGAACTAAGTGTATGACGGACTAAATCTGAAATAAATACAGAAATATTAGTAAAAGTAAAACTAATAAAGCTTTACTCTCTGATCAAAAAGAAAAAATAAGTATGTACTCTTGATGGGTTCTTCTTTAGTGAAACGTTTCGTCTCTCGTCCAAGAGTTCCAACTCAGACTGAAGAAGTCTCTTGGAGGAGAGACGAAACGTTTCACTAAAGAAGAACCCCTCCAGATGACCTACTTATTTTTTTCTTTTTGATTTTTTTCTACCTGGATTACTGAGATGCATCAGGACACTTTTACTCTCTGAGTTACTAGTGCGTAGCTAATAATAGCTAATTTATTTATTTATTATCTCCTGGTGTTTCTATAAAACAGTGTTGGTGGCTATTCATTTCCTGGCTGCTTGACTAATATGAATGATGGCCGTTCTATCAGCACTCAGACTTTTGCCTTGCCTTGGGACTCGGTCTGCAAGCGGTTCTGCTGAGGGTCGCGGGCCGGTTGTGGTTCCTGGACTTTGCTGGCCAGATGGAATTGATCTTGGAGAAAAATGATAGCATGGCTCAGCGGGATTTGTCCGCATTATTTGTCTGATTGGATTTGCCACCTTGAGATGTACCAGCAGACATTAAAGCAGATTGGAAATAGTTATTGTCTGCCTGACTCTTCTGTTCCCAAAACAACTGATTACAGAATCTGCCTCTCTCTTACATGGCCTTGAGCTGTTGGACTAAATTCTTCCTGGATGTTTACGTCGACTGAGGCTCTGCCCCACAACTCCCCCCTCTCACACCTGTCTGTGATCTGGTTCTTGGTACCTGGAGCAAGCTGAAGGCCGCACAGAATGAACAGTTACCATTCTGAACTAATATTCTGAACTATGGCTGCGCTGGTTTTGGGGACTCGATTCTTCGGACTCATTCTTCAGATATTCACACAAACATGCAGCAATCATGGCTTCAGATGCACGCCCCCCTAAACTCACTTACTCCTCTGGCTAATAAATGTGCTCTATGCAGAGTTTTTTTTTATAAACACCATAGTGTGTCACATTGTTGAATATGATGTTTTTTTCTTCCTCATCTTCCCTTGTGTGGTTTTTAGTTTTTATTTTAAGTGTTGTGCCTCCTCATGATGTCTTCATGAAGATGATCCTTGCTCTGTGCAGGGGTCAGTGGCAGCATGACCCAGTGCACCTGTTCTCCCATGTTTATGTTCTGTCTTCTTCTGAGTGGGTGTTCTGAACTGTAATTTCATTTTGCTCTCTACAATGATAATAAAGGTCTATCTAATCTAATCTAATCTAATATGCATTATGACAGATTTAGTTAATGGTTGATACTAACTTTAAAGCAGCTTATCTTCAGACATTATTACTGTGCTATCCAACTAAATTGCTCAGTTACTTAAAGCAGCTCAGGGGCAGGACCATTGTTATTATCTTTCACCTTTTAAATTTTGTTGCATTTAATCACAAATCTAAAGTTTACCATTGATATAAGAAACAATTTTTGTATTACCGTAAATAAAAAAAATATAAATATTTTTTGGGGGTGGGGGTGTCACGGGCGTCACCCGCGGGCCTTGAGTTTGACATGTGTGTGAAATATGTTGAATATCTAATTTAAGCCAATTAAGTAATGTAGAAATGCTCAAATTTTCTCAGGGCTGGAGGATTTGCATTTGGATGAGCGCATCATGCAGTTCTTGTCAATCGTGAACACCATGTTTACCAAGGTCAACCAGCAGGAGCAGCCACGTTTCCACGCCCGCCACTACTCCGTCACCCCTCTTGGAACCCGTTCAGGACTAATCCAGTGGGTGGACGGTGCCACTCCACTTTTTGGCCTCTACAAGCGCTGGCAGCAAAGGGAAGCAGTGCTGCAGACTCAAAAGGTAAGTTATAAACTGCAAAATATAACTGTAATTTCTAAATGCTTCAACACAGAGACTTCACTGACAGCTCATATTAAAGATAAAACCCCACAAATCATATTCTATTATTTATTCACAACATGATTAAAATACAAAAAAAATTATTATTATTCATCAATATTAATCCCAGCAGGTAGACATTCAGCAAAACTCCATCAAAAATGAGTCAAAACATGACAAAAAACTAATAAATCCTTACTTTTTTCAAAGCATTACAATCCACACGGCTTAAAAAGCCACCAGCAACTAAAATAAATGTTCTTTGATTTCATTTGATGCATATTTGTCCTCATTTTTTGATGAAAAAAATATATTCAAAATGGCCTCTGGAAGTGGTATATCCCTTGCTTTTATTACTTTTCCTGGCCACAAAAATCACTCTTTCTTGTCTTGAAGCACTCAGAACACTTCATAACAAATATATTTCCTCTTTAACAGCCTGTTTATTGAGCTGTCCAAATTATGCTTTAAAATCCATGTTTTCCATTATTCTCACCACTAGGGTGAGAAAGTGGATGATAATACATCACAAATCTCTTTCAGTTTAATTTTTCTTGCCACCCAAGATTCCCACTACACAAAACTATATATCAAATGAAATTTTAGGTGATTGGCTACACAGCTGTGGGGTCAGAATGAAGCTCAGAGCTGATTGGCCAATTCTGCAGTCAATCTAGCACAAATTCAAAGTCCCTGACTGCATGGGGTCAGCCTATAAAAATGCAGAACGTAACTGAAAACTGGAAATGTACCGCGGGTGGTACATTGCAGGTTAACATCCCCAGGTTTTTATTCCTGACATGTTCATAAATAGTAAATGTGTTAGTTTCATAGGTTTAAAATAATAATAATGTTAATAAAAGACTTAGCTTTTCTTTTTTCCTGGCATGCAGATTTGGCTGCAGTCTCCATTTTAGCTCAACTTGAAAGCAAAGTTTCCCATATCCCATCCAAACACATGAAAAATCATTGAAAAAGGTAGGATGTCCATTATTGAGCACATGTAGATTTAGTATGATAGCTATTTCAGTACAAGTTGAACATTTTTGTTAGGGTAAAATTGCACAAAAGCATGCAGAAGTAGTTACAAAACGCATAATAAAAGCTACGAATAGGAAAAAAATGGTGTGAATGCTACTTCAGTATTCACATTGTTACAGTGAGGAACAGTCTGGAGGATTGTTTACACAATATCAATGTGATCTATTGTTTTCCAAAACAAAATTGTGGGAGGTTTAATTAAAATATTTTCATCTTAATCAAATTTTGACTTTTTCCTACAAGGCCCAAGAGTCCTTCCCACAGCAGCCTGTGCCTCCGGTACCTCGCCCCAGTGAGCTCTACTACAGCCGCATCGGGCCTGCTCTGAAGGCAGTGGGTCTAAGTTTAGATGTGACCCGACGAGACTGGCCTCTCAATGTTATGAAAGATGTCCTGAAAGAGTTGATGGAGGCTACTCCCTCCAACCTGCTAGCAAAGGAGCTCTGGTGTTCCTGCACCACACCCAGCGAGTGGTGGAGAGTCACTCAGGTACATTTTAAATTTTCTTACATTGTATTTTTTAAATTTTAATTTACCATAACAAAATAGACCGTAATATAATAAAGAGAAACATTTAATCCTTAAAATATGTATTTTATGTTAAGTTATTTTCTTTCTGAGTGTGGTTTTAAAGTGTTAACCTTTTTCTTATACACTTCAGTCATACGCCAGATCCACTGCAGTCATGTCCATGGTGGGCTACATTATCGGCCTTGGTGATCGTCACCTGGACAATGTGTTGATTGACATGACAACTGGAGAGGTGGTGCACATCGACTACAATGTGTGCTTTGAAAAAGGTCAGTTTAGTGGTTTGTTGAGTTTGTTCATTAGTCATAATAAAGATTAATTACCTCATATAAACTTGAAGACTTTCGAGTAAAACAAGGTTTCTGGACAGCAGTAAAACATATGGAGTTATGTAAGGCTAAAGTATGGTCAAATGATAATCGTATGGAAAATAATCAGTGTTTCTAGACTATTACTCATTACATGTTCTGGAAAATAAAATTTTAAAAGTTGCTCCAAGGAGACACTTTCAAATATTGTCTGCTTGTCTATATCATTTCTAAAGTCACTGAGAATTTTTTAAACTGTTTAGCTGACAAGCAGACACAAACCCATATTGTTTTTCCTTTTGGCTGCTTTTTTTCTTCTTGCACGGAAGATTTGTGGTGTATTCACACCCGACACATTTGATTCGCCTTAAACGGACTAGAGTTCGTTTCATTTCCAGATCATTTATGCGAACCCTGGTGAGGATCAAACAACCGGACTGAGACCTGTTTTTGATGTGGTCTCCATTCGCTTTCAAACAAACTCTGATTCGGTTCGCTTCTGGTGTGAAGAGAGACTGGCCTCGTACCAAACCAGCTACAGGAAACGTGTCTTTTTGGACTTCACGAGCCACGATTGCTAAGCACCATTAACCCTTCAGTGTTGCTAATGCTAACAGTACGCTAAAAACAATGAGCCGCTGTGGGTCAGAGAACGCGGATCATCTTGTCTCTTTTGGGTCGCGGAACACATTTGACAACACTGTCCCAAGATTATAAGTATATCATCGCAAAACCACCGCTGAATGAGGTGCTGTTGATATTCTTAATAGTCAGTTGTATTAACAGCACCATCTTTATGTCCCGCCCCCGTCATTTCTGTCCAATGAGATTCACCTGCGTGGCTTTGTTTATAAATTATAGTTCACTTGCAAAACAAACAAGTGGATCAAAGGACTTTGAAAATTGTTTTACACAGATGCCCCCTTCCTGACATACCAGGGGCTTGAACCTGCAGCATTTAATATTGCTAAATTAATTATTTAATGAAAAAAAACTGTTGGGATTGAATTTTGAGTTGTTAAACTACCCAAAATGCATTGTAAAAACAGAGCAGATTCATCCATTCAATGAACTATGGTCACAGGTCCATTTTAGTGACACATGGAGACAGTATTTCACACTCTCACCCACACCCAGTGTCAGTTTAGAGTTCCACAACACTAACAAACCCACACATGCACTGGGAGAACATGTACATTCCACACAAATGGATTCCAGGCTGAAGGTGAACCTGCAACTTTCTTGTTGTGAAAAAACAGCACAAACCTCTGCTCTGCCACGCTTCCCCAAATTACAAGAAATTTATTGAAGGGGAAAAATCATTTTGAAAAAGTTTGAAAATCTAAAAAAAAAAAGACTAATAAAACTGGAATCAAAGAAAATATGGTATTTGACTTGTCTGAGGTCTGATTAAACTGTGTGTGTGTTATCAGGAAAGAGTCTACGTGTGCCAGAAAAAGTCCCGTTCAGGATGACCCACAACATTGAGACTGCACTGGGAGTCACTGGAGTAGAGGGCATCTTCAGGCTGTCCTGTGAACAGGTTATTCTCTTATCTCATTCTAATGTGATGCAACGTAGAGCTTGTTCAAGCAGTAACACGAGGGGAAAAGAAAACGTTGTGATGATTAGTATATATTCACTATTCTGTTAATTAATTCTGGGTTGTTGAAGAAAATTCTTAAATCCGATTTGTCTTTTCAGGTTGTTCAGATAATGCGACGAGGCAGAGAGACCCTGCTCACCTTGCTGGAGGCCTTTGTCTATGATCCTTTGGTGGACTGGACTGCAGGGGGAGAGGTGGGCTTTGCTGGTGCAGTGTATGGAGGAGGGGGTCAACAGGCTGATAGTAAAAAGAGCAAGAGAGAAATGGAGAGGGACATCACACGCTCTCTGTTTTCCTCAAGGGTGGCTGAGATCAAGGTGAGCTCAAGTCAAGAGTAAACTCTGAAAGAGTGGTGTGTATTGACCATTAATATTTGTACCTTTTTATGCTTTTATGAATTATTTTCCATTTACTAAAGACCTCCTAAAGAAATGCACTGAGATTTCTTCATTTCCTTCAAAAACATTGTTCTCTGAAATCTATTTCAGCACTTGATCTATACAGTGGTTTGCAAAAGTATTCATACCCCTTGAACTTTTCCATATTTTGTCACATTACAACCACAAACATAAATATATTTCACTGGAATTTAATGTGAAAGACCAACACAAAGTGGTATACAATTGTGAAGTGGAAGCAAAATTTTACATGAATCAAAACATTTTTTACAAATAAAAAACTGAAAAGTGCGATGTGCAAAATTATTCAGCCCCCCTGAGTCAATACTTTGTGGAGCCACCTTTTGCTGCAATTACAGCTGCAAGTCTTTTAGGGTATGTCTCCACCAGCTTTGCACATCTAGTGACTGCAATTCTTGCCCATTCCTCCTTGCAAAACAGCTCAAGCTCAGTCAGACTGGATGGAGAGCGTTTGTGAACAGCAGTTTTGAGATCTTGCCACAAATTCTCAATTGGGTTTAGGTCTGGACTTTGACTGGGCCATTCTAACACATGAATATTCTTTTTTTTAAACCACTCCATTGTAGCTTTGGCTTTATGTTTAGGGTCGTTGTCCTGCTGGAAGGTGAACCTCCGCCCCAGTCTCAAATCTTTTGCTGACTCCAACAGGTTTTCTTCCAAGATTGCCCTGTATTTGGCTCCATCCATCTTCCCATCAACTTTGACCAACTTCCCGGTCCCTGCTGAAGAGAAGCACCCCCAGAGCATGATGCTGCCACCACCATATTTGACAGTGGGGATGGTGTTTTCAGAGTGATGTGCAGTGTTCTTTCTCCGCCACACATAGCGTTTTGCATTGTGGCCAAAAAGTTCAATTTTGGTCTCGTCTGACCAAAGCACCTTCTTCCACATGTTTGCTGTGTCCTCAACATGGCTTCTGGCAAACTGCAAACGGGACTTCTTATGGTTTTCTTTTAACAATGGCTTTCTCCTTGCCACTCTTCCATAAAGACCACATTTGTGTAGTGCACRACTAATTGTTGTCCTGTGGACAGTTTCCCCCACCTGAGCTGTGGCTCTCTGCATTTCATCCAGAGTCACCATGGGCCTCTTGGCTGCCTCTCTGATCAGTGATCTCCTTGTTCGGCCTGTAAGTTTAGGTGGACGGCCTTGTCTTGGCAGGTTTACTGTGGTGCCATGCTCTTTCCATTTCCGGATGATGGATTGAACAGTGCTCCGTGAGATGTTCAAAGCTTGGGAAATCTTTTTATAACCTAAGCCTGCTTTAAACTTCTCCAAAACCATATTCCTAACCTGTCTGGTGTGTTCTTTGGACTTCATGATGCTGTTTGCTCCCCAATATTCTCTTAACCAACATCTGAGGCCGTCACGGAGCAGCTGTATTTGTACTGAGATTAGATTACACACAGGTGGCCCCTTTTGAGTCATTAGCAGTCATCAGGCAACTTCTGAATGCAATTGGTTGCACTCAGGGAAAAGGGGGCTGAATACTTTTGCACGTCGCACTTTTCAGTTTTTTATTTGTAAAAAATGTTTTGATTCATGTAAAATTTTGCTTCCACTTCACAATTGTATACCACTTTGTGTTGGTCTTTCACATTAAATTCCAGTGAAATATATTTATGTTTGTGGTTGTAATGTGACAAAATATGGAAAAGTTCAAGGGGTATGAATACTTTTGCAAACCACTGTATTTTCTTTCCTGTGCTCTTTTTAGCTACTCTCTTGCTAAATCTAGCATGTAGCTATGGTTTTCTTAAATTTAGCACATGGCATAGCTGTTTTGCTAATTTAAGCTTTTAGATAGTGTTTTGCTGATTGAAACCTCTATATTTGTACTCCTCCCTCAGAAAAACAGATATATTAAACCTCTGAACGTTGCCGCAGATAGAAAGTGCTTAAGGTACTATGTGTATTATTTGCAGGTAAACTGGTTTAAAAATCGAGATGAAATGCTGGCAGTCCTTCCCCAAGTGGAAGAGGCTGTGGAAGAGTACTTGGTCCTTCAGGACTTGCTCTGCCAGGGGGAGAAACTACAAGTCAAACTCCAGGAGGAGATGGAATTCTTGGAGGGTGCAGAGAACCATCCAGACCACGTCATCCTTACTCTGGAACAAAGGTATATGCATTTTTAAAATGTTCTACCTGTTCAAACCTGCTCAGGCTTGGTGAAAAGTGAGGGTATAACATTTAAAAGTTCTTAAAGTTTAAAAATATTTAAATAAGTAGAAGAAATCCCCCCTATTAGTGAGGGGAGAAGTTGTGGAAACACTTGGGTTGGGAAGGACTGAGGATGATTTATGGACATAATGTCAAACTTGACTGCATCTGTTAAAATGTTTTAAGGGAGATGATTTTTTTTGCCAGCTGTTGAAAAGAAGCAAAACTAGAATCATCATGCAAATTTCTTTTAATGTCTTCATTGTTTCCCACAACAATGAGTTTGTAACCTCTAGTGTCTTAACCTGATAGAAAGAAAATCAATTTGTTTATAAACAAAACTGACAGACATTAATTAGCAAAACAAAAGCAAATGCTGAAACACTTTCCACTCATTCTTTTGCTTGCCAGGTACTCTGAACACACCCAGCTGCAGTCACAGCAGCGGACTGTGCAGGAGGCCATTCGGGGAAAGCTGACTGACTTGGAGCAATGGGTCAGTCAATACCAGGCAGCATTTTCCAGTTTGGAGGCCACACAGCTCGCAAGCCTTCTGCAAGACATCAGCGCTCCAATAGATCTTGGTAAGTGTTTCAGGGATGAAGAAAGTAGAGCTTTAATCAAATATTTAAAAAAAGATGTTAGAAATGATTAAACTCACTACTAATACATGAGGATTAGATTTATTTTTTATGAATTTTAAGCTTAAAAAAGCTAAAAAAATAAATAAATAAAAAAAGATTGTATTATCCATGAATAAATACAGTACTTCCTGTTGAATGTGTCAGCAGTGGAGAGAAATGAGATGGCTGCTTTAGTTTGAGGTGTAACAGTACATCAATCCACATAGATGCACTGATTCAGTTACATCAAGGCAAAACAAAAACATTGACCTATATCGTCATCTTAAAGGGGCAATATCACGTAAAATCAACTTTTTTGAGTTTTATATCATGTTATAATATTATACTCTCATTAAAAAAACATGCCCAAAGCCTTGCTTTGACTCATTCATGCATGTTTGCGAAATCCTGCAGCATTTTTAGGAAGCCATGCTGAGGAGCAAAACAACAGGTGGGGACTAGAAACGCCTTTTGGTACTAGAAACGCCCCTGGGACGTGTCTTTAAGCCGAGCTTCCTCATGGTGGGGCGCCCCTCCCCACACACCCCACCCATAACTCCTGCAGGCTCTCTGGTGAAAGTGAAACTTAAATTGTCTTCTGAGCTCCTAACATTATTTCTCACTCAGTGAAGCTCTTTTC